ACTCTTTAAGGTTGACAATATTCAAACACCGTGGTATGCAGACATTGTCAACTATCTTATTTGTGGCATCTTGCCTTTTGATTTGAAGTTTCATCAAAAGAAGAAGTTTCTCCATGATGCTAAGTTGTATTTTTGGGAAGAACCCTATCTGTTTTGCCAATGTGCTGATCAAATGATCAGAAAGTGTGTTCCTGAGTGTGAACAACACGAAATTCTCAAATGTTGCCATTCTTCTGACTATGGAGGCCACTTCGGGGGTGACAAGACAGCATCTAAAATCTTACAAAGTGGTTTCTATTGGCCCTCTTTATTCAAGGATGCATATGACTTTGTTTTAAAGTGTGATAGGTGCCAAAGGATGGGTAATATCTCTAGAAGGAACGAAATGCCACTCAACAACATGCTTGAAGTTGAATTGTTTGACGTGTGGGGCATAGACTTCATGGGACCATTTCCCATGTCTTTCAACAATCAATATATCCTTGTGGCTGTAGACTATGTCTTAAAATGGGTCGAAGTGGCAGAATTTCCCACTAATGATGCTAAAGTGGTGCTTAAGTTCTTAAAGAAGCATATTTTACTTGCTTTGGAGCACCAAGAGCCATTGTGAGTGATGGTGGTACTCATTTTTGCAACAACCAATTTCAATCTCTCTTGAAGAAATATAGTGTCAAGCACAAGGTTGCACTTGCTTACCATCCTCAAACTAACAGGCAAGCTGAGATCTTTAATCGGGAAATCAAGAAGATACTTGAGAAGACGATAGGAGTGGCAAGAAAAGATTGGTCCACCAAACTTGACGACGCACTGTGGGCTTATCGAACGGCTTACAAAACTCCTATCGGTATGTCTCCATACCGGTTAGTTTTTGGGAAAGCATGTCATCTACTTGTAGAGCTAGAACATGGTGCTTATTGGGCTATCCAAAAGCTCAACTTTGATTTTAAAGCTGTGGGTGAAAAGAGACTTCTCCAAGTAAATGAACTTGATGAATTTCAGTTAAATGCCTATGAGAATGCTAGGCAATACAAGGAGAAGACAAAGAGATGGCATGATAAGAAAATTTTATGCAAAGCATTTGAGCCAGGCCAAAAAGTACTCTTGTATAACTCTAGATTGAGATTATTTCCTGGCAAACTCAAGTCTAGATGGTCGGGACCGTTCAATGTGATCTAAGTATTCCCTCATGATGCTATTGAGCTAGAGAGCAATGAAGGAGAAAGATTTAAAGTTAATGGACAACGAGTGAAGCATTACTAGGGTGGTGAGGTAGACCGTGAAGCAATTACCTTGCCCTTATCTGATGCCTCTTAAAGGAGAGAAGAGTCAAGCCGGATGACTATAAAACAAGCGCTACTTGGGAGGCAACCCAAGCTCTAAACCTTATCTTTTGATTTTTCTTTTGTAGATTAGTTGTTTTGATGAAGTTATGTGTGATCTTGTCTCTTTTATAGGTTAACAAGAAGATATGAGGAAGTATAAGCCTTTGGAGAACCAAGAAATGTGCCCAAAGAACAAAAGAGCACAAAAGGAAGGAAAAATTTAGGGAAATCAAGCTATTTAAGTTGTTTTTATGCTTATAAACTTGTCTTGGTAATTATTTTGAGCTTATTGAAGTAAATGCAATTTTTTGTGGTTTGATTCCCATGAAAAATGGTTCTTTTTGGGGGTTGATTGCATTTAAATTGAAGGAAATTGTGTATGGTTGATGAATGATGGTTAGAGATTGATTTTGGAGTGATTTGAGTGTTTGGAAGAGGTTTTAAGGGGTGAACAAATCATATTTTTGAAAATAGATTGCTGCAAAATTTTTGCTGTCAAAAGTTCTGATAAGCATCCAGAGAAGATGAAAGTCGCGACTTCAAATTTAAGCCTAATCTGAAAGTCATGACTTTGGAAAAAATTTCAAAAAAAGTTAAAAATTTAAAAAAATGGGAAAGAATTTTTTCCTCTTGTTTTTTTTTTCTCTTGCCTAAACTTTACCCTCAATGAATGCTAACCTCACTCAATCACTTTAATACAAACCTTTTCCCCCTAAATCTTTCAAGTTCTTTCCCTTGTCACTATCCATAATTTTAGCCACCTGAGCTTTGTCCACTTTCGTTCTTCTTTAGTATGAATCACATTTGTCATTTATCCTCCTCTCTACCTCAAAGTTCCCAAGAGATCACATAGATTAGCTTGTCTTAATTCTAGTTCTATAGTTGTTTTGTTACCTGTGGATATTGTTGAAATACTCTTTTGTTACAGGTTGTGCTTTTTGTGTCTCTCATGCAACTTTTCTATTATTGTTTGGTTGTATAGTTGCATGAGAAAGGGCCCTTACTTTCCTCTTTTGACAGTGAGGACACTGTTCAATTTAAGTTTGGGGGTGAGGGTATTATTTTGGTTGATTTGACATGAACTTCAATTTTGAAACTTAGCTATTTATTGTTCCTCTCTTTTAAAATTTGAGCTAGATTGAGAAATTATTTGTTGAACAGAATGTGTGATCCAATGATAGAACGTTGCTTAAACTGTATGTTTTATAGGAAGTTGTGATAAATATTTTGGCATGCTTGATTTGCAGGGTTAAGGCTTGCTTTCTAATAATTTTGTGAAATTTTCTTTTGCACTTTTGAACCAAACAATGATTTGAATGCCTCTATTAGGAAATTTTGTGGCAAGTTTATGTGCATTTTCTTTCTCAATTGAGAAACTCTAGAACCTATCTTGGAATCTCTTTAAGCATTTTAATCACTTTGCATGAGATTAAAATATGATTTGGGCATTCTTTCAAATGCGTTTGAGCCTTTCAAGCCCACCTATTGCATCATTTCCACTTGAACCCCTTTTTGAGCCTGGAATTGAAAATCTTATGTATTTTCTTTTTGAAACCTACATTAAACCCTAGCCTCTACAACTTGAAAAACCATGAATTACCTTACTCTTGAGGTAAATGATAAAAAAAAAATTTATGTGCTAGTAGAGAAGATTGGTTTAGTTATTCAAGGAGGTGTTGTTATTGTAAATCTGGGTGTGAGGAATGGAAATGAAGTTTTTAATTTTACTAATTGTACTCCTGAAAAAAAAAAAGTATAAAAAAATAGAAATATACATGAAAAAAAATGCAATGAAAAAAAAAGAGTTTCAATATTAATAAATTTGGAGTACAAGGAATGGTATTTGAGATAAGTTTGGGGGAAAGTATTTGGCTAGCAAGGATGGAATGGTTGGCTTCTCATTGTCATTTATCTCAAGTTCTTTGAATTCCATTTATCCTTTCATTTCAATAAGCCCAAAACCTTCGGCCACGCTACAAGCTTACAAAGTCTCATTGATTTTGAATTATGTGAAGTGATCTTTTAGTGGAGAGAGAAGAAGAGTTTAGGCATATGAAGTCTTGATATTGAGCTTGTTCCATGCATATTGAGTTGTTACATTTTGACTTGATAGTTGTCGGAAAATCATTTTCTAGTCTCACACACACACATTTCTAAATTGTTGGAAAGCATGATCTTAATTTGAGAATTGGGCATTCCTTTATATTTCACTGCTATCCTCTTTAATATATATTTGGAGCAACTAGTGAGGATATTTTCATGCATGCGTAGTAGATGAATAATTAGTCAATATAGTTGTTTTATTACTTGTTTTACTCGAGGACGAGTAAAAATCTAAGTTTGGGGGTGTGTTAACCTCTAGAAGTTCATGTTATTTCATCACATTTTTCTTATATTCTAGTTCATTTTGGTTTAATTGTATATGTTTTTATTGCCCAATTTAGGAAAATGTGCATTATGTTTTGGGCTTGTGTTCTTGGCTTTAATTTGATATTTTTGGCCTAATTTCATGTTATTTTGATTAGAAGCATTTCTGGAGCTTTGTGGATGTTTTTGGAAGGCTTTTGGATGAAGAAATCAAGAGCAAAATGAATGATTTTTGTTAGCTGTAAAAACAGTGCAAAACTGCTAAAGTCGTCTCAAAGTCGTGACTTTCGTTCGCGACTTTCGTCGCTGTCAGAAAAATGCTGCGTTTCATTTATCAAAAATTAGTTGGCTAGGACACATATAAGCTGAGAGCTCGACCCAGAACGTATTCTTCAGACTTTTAGACACTTTTGGAGCTTGGTTGTGCTAGGGTTTGGGCATTGGAAGAGTTGGGATCAAAAGATTGAAGCTTTGAAGACATTTGGAGCTCATTTTCTTCGATTTTTCTATTCCTCTTCCCTTTCCTCTCTTATAATCTGAAATGGGTCCACTTATTTTGTATATTTGTAGCTTGTGGATGATTATGAGTAGCTAAACCCTTTGTTCTAGGATTAATTGGAACTCTTGTATGGATTAACACCATATTTCTCCTCTCTTTTTGTGATTAATGATATATATGTGTTTATTTTATCTTTCATTAATACTTCTACTTGATTGGCCACCATTTAGATGTTGGGTTCACTTAATTGATGCTTGAGAGGGCTAGGCTGAGTGTAGAACTTGGGTAAAATTGTGTAAGAACTTGATATTTGCATGTTGAATGGATGGTTTTGGATGGTTTTGTTAGTAAGATAGAGATATACTTGCTAGCCTTGCATAGCCACATTAGGGTTGGTGTTTAAAATTGAGTTTTATTAATTGTAACAAGAGATTGAGAAATTAATTTAACTAAACACTTGTTCATGACTTGAGAGAGCTTGTCCAAGTATTTTTAGAACCCTAGGTTAGCACTTATTTCCATTAAAAGCATTTATAAGAGGAGGTAATTTTGGTGTTATGAAATGCAAGGGGAACAATTAATCCTAGGTCCTAAATTGTGTTAGAAGTTTATGAATCACTCACTTTTCTTTATTTTCTAGAGTTAATTTCATTTGTAAAATCATTTTCACCTAATTTTGTGTAGCTCAACTTGATCAAATTTACTTAGTCTTTTGCTTGATCATTGTTTTTGAACAAATCCTCGAGGGAACGATACTTTACTTTCATTATATTACTTACTACGACCCGTGCACTTGCGGTGAGCAACACTACCTCAAATGTGGACGATATGGACACCGGGGAGAAGAATACCCGTGGAAATATGAGCATATGACTGAGCACAAAATTCTGATGGGAGAGAATCCATCACAACCAAGCAAGATGCTGGTTAAACAGGGGATGCATCAAGAGGAGGAAGACGACTTCAAAACTTTCATGATGGTTCCCAAGACGTTCAGACCATACCAGAGTAGACCACGGGATAGCAGATGAGACCTGCAAAACTAAAACAGAGGACGACTGAAGGATGTCAGGAAAAAGACCAAAGAGGCTACTCAGTCTAGGTTTTTCATTCTTACGGATATGGAAGAAGATATTCAGAATCAAGACTATGGTACTATTAGCACTGAAATGGCAACTGATAGTCAGAAGGATGGGGACAGGGTTGTACATCGAGACACTTAAAGAAGCTTGGAGGGAAAAAGGCAAAATATGTCAGCTATGATGAGTCCTATCATCAAGTCAAAAGGATCGAATATGCGGTCTAACTCACACCAAGAAAGAGGAAAAGACACCTGGAAACCTAAACTGGCCGAAAAATCAGATAATAAAACAATTCAAATTGGGCTTTCCACACTCGATAAAGCTGGGCCTCGGCCTAAAACAACTGGTGCAATGCCAAAGAAAGACCAAAGAACCCATTCAGTTACGGTTGGTAGTCTGGTAAATATGGGCTGAAATACTAAGAAGTCTAAGCAAGAAAAAAAAGAGATGATTGGACAACTTAATAAAGAAAGTCTGGGCGTTACTGTGAAAGAATAAGGGAAAAGAACGAACTTGGAGACCTTGGAGATTGAAAACATGCATTATGTGCCCCTAGAGCCTCCTGATCGTGTGGTAATAGGAGAAGGTGTACACCAAGAGAGGAGAGATTATGAGGATGGTATTGATAATAGTAAGCAGTAGATTAAGGAGGAAGCTAAGTCAAAAGGCCATACCTACGCCAGATGATTGTGTGATTCCCTGACATGTCTTCATCCTTTATGAGTATTTCCTCTTGGAATTGTAAGGGCGCTGGAGGTAAGGCGTTTCTGCACTTAATTAAGGATATTATGAGAAAGTATAGAATAAACATTTAATGTTTGCTGGAAACTAGAATAAGTAGAAGCAGAGATGATCATGTTACCCGTAGACTAGGATTTTCTAATTGGATTCAAGTTAAGGCTACAGAATTTGCTGGAGGTATATGGGTTTTCTGGAATAGGAATGATTTCTCTATTGATCTTGTTTGGTCTAGTACCTAAATTCTTCATTGCCGTATTGTTGATTTAAATTCTCATGTTACTATGATGGTCTCCTTTGTTTATGGTGAACCTCATGAGGGACGTAGAAAGAGTCTTTGGGATCAATTGGAGACCATAGCCCTTAATATAATGGAACTGTGGATGATCTTAGGAGATTTTAATGCCTATACATTTCCTACGGATAAATTGGGGGGAAGAAATCCTAATTATTCTAGCATGCACTCTTTCAACAACTACCTATCTGTGTCTGGACTTCTAGATATTCTAGTAATTGGAAATTACTTTACTTGGGAAAAAGAGGGAGTTTTAGAGAAATTGGATTGGGCTTTTAGTAATTCGGCCTGGGCTCTTAAGTTTTAATAGTACAGAACTATAAACCTCTTAAAGTTTAAATTTGATCACAGGATCATCCTTGTTACTGATCAACAAGATCTGAGGAGACAAAGTAGAGATACAACATTCATATATAATGCTGCTTGGGCTTTGGAAAGTAGTTTTAAAAATCTTGTAAAAACTACCTGGAAAGACAAGGATTGGCTAAATGGAGCTAAGATTTTCCCTGCTACTACATGTAAATGGAATGATGATAATTTGGGAAGCATTTTGAAGAAAAAGAGGGAAATCATCAGGAGACTTGAAGGGATTGATAAGGCACGAAGTAGAAGTGATAGGAATGGTCTGAGGAAACTTAAGAGGTGACTGTGGATGAACTACAACAAACTCTTGGCCCAAGAAGAGCTTATTTGGTTTCAAAAGTCTCGAGGAAAATTGGGAGACTGATTAAGAGAATTTGAAGAAAATGGCTGCTAACTTTTTTAAAGAGCTTTATACTAAATTAAATTCCACCATTGAAGCTAGCTTTGTGCCTTGCTCCTTTCCTTAGCTTTCAGAGGCTGATCTCAATTTTATCCAAAGAGACCTTACTGATGATGATATTAAGGAAGCTATTTTTGTTATGGGTGCTTTCAAGGCTCTAAGTCCAGATGGTCTTACAGCTCATTTTTACTAGTCTCATTGGAATATGATTAGTGGGAAAGTTTGTAGTTTCATTAAAGAGCTGTTTGCTAACCCGAATAGAAGTTGTGAAATAAATCAAACCAGTATTTGCTTGATTCCCAAGGTTGACCACCCTTCTTGTCTACAAGAATTTCGTCCTATCTCTCTTTGCAATGTTTCACTAAAAATTATCACCAAAATCATTGCAAATAGGCTGAAGAATTCTTTAGATTTCCTAGTAAACCGAAATCAGTATAGCTTTATAGCAGGGTGACAAAGTAGTGATAATATTGTAATAGCCCAAGAGGCCATCCACACAATGCACTCTAAAAGAAAGAGAAAAGGATATATGGCCATAAAAGTAGATCTGGAAAAGGCTTATGACAGGCTTGATTGGAACTTTATTGATCATACTTTAAGAGGCATTGGACTTTGTGAGCACTTCACTAAGGTTATCATGACCTGTATTGAGACGGCTACTATGAGAGTGATTTGGAATAATGAACATACAAATGAGTTCTCTCCAACAAGGGGAATAAGACAAGGAGACCCTCTGAGCCCCTATATGTTTGTGTTATGCATGGAGAGACTTGGAATGATGATGCCCCTATATGTTTGTGTTATGCATGGAGAGACTTGGAATGATGATACAACAACTTTGTGAAGCTAAGAAATAGAAACCTCTTAAATTATCTGTGAGAGGTCCTCATGTGTCTCATCTTTTCTTTGCTAATGACCTCATCCTCTTCATAGAAACCTCTTTGAAACAAGCCAAACTTATTCAGAGTATGATGAATACTTTCTGTAGGGCTTCTGGACACAGAATGAATATACAGAAGACTAAACTCTTTTGTTCTAGTAATGTGTGTTTTCAACGTGCCTCTCAAGTGAGCGAATATTTAGGAGTAGGCTTGACTGTGGATCTCAATAAATACTTAGGAGTGCTTCTTTTGCATAAAAGGATGCATAAAGGCCTTTTTCTTCCACTGATTCAAAAAGTGCAATCCAGACTTTCCTCTTAGAAGAGCAATTTCCTTTCTATGGCAGGAAGAACGATTCTTATCAAGTCTGTGATCTCCTCTCTACCTTTCTATATGATGCAAACCATGCTTCTCCTTAAAAGTACTCTGAAAGACATTGAAAAATACAATAGGAAGTTTTTATGGAATAATAGAGATGATCAAATAAAACTTCATTTGATTTTTTAGGATATTATTAAGTTGGATAAACAACAGGGGGGCTTAGGTATTAAGGATCTGGAACTACAAAACAAAGCTTTCATTATGAAACTTTGTTGGGGACTTATTAGCAGAACTAATAGTTTTTGGGTCCAATACCTGAGAGCCAAGTCTGATTGTGGGCAGGGAGATCTTCCTTTGGTTACCGCTAAGAGAACAATGTCTAAGGTTTGGAATAGTATAGCCAAAGTCTGGGAGGAGTTTCAGAAGGGAGTGAGTAAAAAGATTAATAATGGGACTTCTACTAGTTTTTGGTAGGATCGATGGGCTCTACTAGAACAACCTTTGATTGAATATGTGACAAATTATAACTACCCTCTTGATCCCCAGGCAAAGGTCTGTGATTTTACCTGGCCCTCAAATGGCTGGAACAAAGAGCTATTATCTTGTTACTTTTCCCTAAATGTTGTTAATCGCATTCTCTATGTTCAAATCAACACTAACTACCAGAGAGATTCCTTTTGGTGGAAAGTAGGAAGTGATGGTAAATTCTTGGTTAATTTTGCTTACAAGTTTCTTGCTTATAGTGTGCCAATAGACCGAAGCCTACTTTAGAAGAGTTTGTGGAAATGGCCTCTCTCGGAGAAGAATAAATTTTTCTTTTAGCAAGTCCTTCATGAGAGACTCCCTAGTAATCAGTTGAGAGTGAGGAGGGGTTTTACTAGTGATGCACACTGCCCCTTTGAATGTGACCTTGATGAGGATATTCTTTACATCTTGAGAGATTGCCTAAGAGTGAAAAACACATGAAAGGAAATTATTAATCCTATTTATTGTAACCACTTTTTCTCTTGTAGCTTGCAAGAATGGATAAGATGGAGCACTACACACTACCTTAGCAAGGGTATGTTTAAACAATGGCCATGGATCAAAGTGTATGGAAACATATGTTGGTTATTATGGGTACACAGATGTAAATATGTGTTTGAAGGAACTAATCACCTTCCAAAGGACAACTCAACATGTGCATTAGGAGGCTACTAGAAGAATTTGGATTCTATCATAGTTCAACAAAACTATAGAGTTACTCAGAACTAAACTGGACTGCTCTTACACATGATAAAGTTCGGGTGGATGTGGACACGTCAGTTTCTCAATCTTATAGTGCGACTTGTGGAGGTCTAGCTAGAAACCACAGAGGTGAATGGTTAGGTGGTTTTACTTGTAGTTTGGGTTATCTACAGATCATAATTATTGAAATTAAAGCCATCAAATGTGGCTTGAAATTATGCGTAGACATGAACTTTGATAAGGTAGAAATCTTTACATATTCCATAGATGCTATGAATTACATTTACAGAGGCGTTAATCAAACCCATCCTTTTTTTGAAGACATTCTTGAGGTTCAGGCGACTTTGTGTTCTCATGAAGGATATAAACTTTTATATACTTCTCGTGAATAGATGACCTGTGCAAACTTTTTGGCGAAGATAGCTCATGATTTTAATAAGGACTTTGTTTTTCTTGAGGATATTCCTACTGGTTGTGAGGCGCTCATTTTGTCTGACTATAATGGTGGTCTGTCCCACTGATTCCTAGCAAACTTGAGTTTTCTTTTGTTTTTTACTAGCTCCTACTAGTCCAGTTTGATGAGAAAAAAAAGAATAATTCTATAAAAAAAAACTTGCTTTTGAAATCATAATCATAACCATAAAAATGAGAGTAAACTAAAATTATGTGATTTTAATTATACGTAAGAAAATAATTGATTATACATAAATAGAAGTGGTACACTTGTTAACTGAAACCATTGAAATTTCAAGTGCACAAGTTGATTAAAATTTTATAATTTTGAGGACTTAACAAAACAAGTAATAAATGTAGACACACAATCCACGAGAGTAATACTAACCAAATACGGCTTGAAGCCACAAAACAAGCACAGACACACAGTCTACAAGGATAATGTTAACCAAATGCGGCTTAAAGCCATGAAATAAATTCGGACACACAGTTTATGAATAGCAAACGTGAGAACAGAATCATGAAAATTAAGCTAGTTAGTCATTAACTATGATACGCCAAGGACTAATGGGATTGCCATTAGCAACTAGTGTTCTATATAAAATCTTCTTAGAAATCATATTTCAAACATGCGAGAGAAAAAAAAATCATTACTAAAATAAAATTTTCATTCGCAATGCCAAACTCGTATAAATTGTTTCAAATCTCAAAGCTTGCTAGAATAATATTTTATAGCTAATGTACAAACTTGTTTTAGTTGAGTAACCAAGAATTTCTAGAGCAAAATAAACAAAGATGCTTTCATCAATTTTGAAAGTATATTTCTTAAAGAAAATACATGCATATACTATAATTTAATTAACCTTCATCATTATTCTATAATTTCCAAAACCAAAATAATTTAATTAACAAAATATTTAATAACCATCATAGTTGTTAAAATGATTTATATGAAAATATAATATTTTTAAAAACATACTGCTTTTATTTGAAAAAATAACGGGGTGCTATTCACTTACCCGTAGTGTCCCCAAATGCAAATTCACTCTTTAAAGTCAAGTCTTCTTTCTTCTAAACACCCTATTCAACATAAAAGATAATTCAATGATCTTTATTCAAGTTTAATAAGATCTTTTAGGATATCAACAACACCATGATCACTTAATTTTTTGATTAAATATAAGTTATGCCTCAATTCCTCCAATGTCTACTATACTCAATATATATCCCTCTATTTAACACTTTGTTTCTATACTCAATATATATCCCTCTACTTGTTTCTATTCATGTGCGCGTGCGCGCGCAAACAAAATCAAGTCTCAAAATAATATTCAATAGGTATTTCAAAGATGAATACATAAATAGTTAATTAGTACTTAAATTATTAATGAAAATATTTTTTTTCAAAATCTCTATTCCTCATCCCAACTTTCTCTCTAATATTTTATTAACCATCTCATATCTATCTAAATTCAAATAAGTACCAAGCCTCTTCTTTCTTAACGTCCTTTCCAAAATTTTTCAATATCAATATCTAGATTAACCCATTTTTCTAAATTTCATTCTTTCAACTAAATTTAAAAATAAACTCAAATAAAATTCAAATTCACATTACACCTCACTCTAAAAATCTAAAAATTCCAACTTGCCTAAACCCCTCTCTCAATGTTCGAACATACAGCATCAAAGCAAGGAGAAAACCACAATCTCTGAAATTTAAACACACCAACAGGACCAACAAAGAGAAGGGAGTTCGAACTCCTCACCTTCAATCAGCAGCAAAAAAAGCAAGGAGAGAAAAAGATCACACAACATTAAACAGGGGAGGAGAGGATTCTGACATAGCTGCAATGAAGAAGGAAAATGAGAGGCTGATGGCAACATCTAGCAGCGGCACCACGAGCTTCTCCGGCAACCAATCTCCTCACACAACCTCCGACACATACACCGAGAGGGGATATCGAACAGAGACACGAAGGATGATGACTGAAGTCTTAAACAATTGTACCCCAAAGAAGCCGACAAGAAAGAACGGCGGCAAATGGATTTCTCACCACCCTCGCGAAGAAGTAGGTGGAGGAAGACCAAAGTTCTCTCATTTTCTCGGTGGTTTCTGGAGCTCTCTGTAAAATAAAGGTGCAGAACAAGGAAGGAAGGAGGAAGGTTGCACAAACACCTCAGCAACGGCGGACGGGACCCTGATGCTCTAGTGCCGACGACGCGGCGAGGAAGAGGAAGGAGAAGACAAGAACGAAGCTTCTGGTCTCACAGTCCTCTCTCTCTCTCTCCCTCCCTCCCCCGATGCTTCCGTGATCACTGACTAGGGAAGGGAATAAAAATAACTTATGTTGCCAGGGACATAATGGTAATTTTATAAAGGTTTAAAAAAAAAACAAAAGAAGAACAATCCCACTCCCGCAAAAGGAGGATTTGAACCGGAAATCTCAAGGTTAATATCAAAGATTCTTACCACTGAACCATTAGTTTACCTCAACAAATTGTGTCCAAAAAAATTTATATATAGAGATATATATAACATATTTAACATGCCTTATCATCACTTTTCCGTTAATTAATTTATTATTTATTATTATTTTTATTATTTTTTGTTGGATTATTACAGATTTCCTCCATTTATGCAGAGCTTTTCCAATCCCCCTAATTCTCTAGGTTGTAACCATTCTAACACCATTTTAAGAGGAAAGACTTCAAGATTTTACTTCTCTAGTGATGGTGGAAAGAGACTGCTTTAAAATCTGTTTTCAACGTGCCCTACGTTTTTTTAAAATCCTCCAACCTGTCAAATTCATTTCCTTGAACAACAACTTCACTCCCTGTATGTATACTCAACCTCTAAAGGCTCTTCAACCTTCGAAGATGCTCTAGACTCCTCCCCAAGCTACATATTACAAATCCCTTGAGCACTTGGAGCGAAGTGAGCTTGGCCAATCCCTGTAGCAAACTTTCCAGCAAGTAGCATTTTGATACGTCCAAGTGTGTGAGCTTTGTCAATGACGTGATTTCATCTGGAAAAGTTTCCAGAATATGACAAGCTTTAAGGTCCATATATAATTTCAAGGTTGGTTAGTTCAACAATGGAGGCTAGAAGTTATGTGATTCTTGAGATCCCAAAAAGGCTGAGATACTTAAGATACCTTTGAAATCCTAAACCTTTCAGCAACGAATCACCTTTGACCTCGATATGATTCTCGAGAGAAGGCTGCCAACGACTAGTTGCAGAACCCTCGATGTCTTCAACTTAAAAAGCCAATCATCTTCCTAACTGAGATAACTCTTGCTTACATTAAAGATGGTCCTCAATATGTCAAAACTCGAGGATCCAATTTTTTGATGAGTGATCAAACAAGCACGACGAGAGTTGTTAGGATCAAAACATGGTATCTTGACATCATCTTGGGCTAAAGCTTCTCCATGCTGGCAGCTACTGAGATCAACATGCAACGAATCCAAGGGTGAACTTAACATTTATTCAATGCTGGGCATGTGCTTGTACGACAGGATATGATTAACTTATGTTCTAGAAGCTCATCAAAAATGTCTTCGCCGGCTTGCTCATCTTAAACTAGCCTTCCCCCGATCCACCAATAAATGAGGGGCCTTTTCTTCAGGACAACTTTTTCAAAGAAAATTGCAAGAAGCAATAAGCAAGTTTTCTTGTCGTCAGATTAGTGGTCGAGAAAGCCATAACTCACCCGGAGACTTTTCACAACTGGATAGTCATAATGTTTCACAATCTCTTGTCCCAGTGGAGATAATTCTAAGGAAGTGGTCCTCATCCTCTGATCCTAACTCGCCTATGCTTGGATCGGTCTGTTTTGTGTTGTTTTGCTGCTCGGGAGATAACAGGTTGAGTGACTCATTTATCTGAGTGAGCTTGTGACAGAGAGATTGGATTAGGGGATGGATGGCTTCAATAATCCGAGGTAGGTCAAGGTCAAGAATTTTATGATGATCATGATCCAAGTCTGAGAAAAGCTCAAGAATTTCACAATCTCTTGCCATTGCTTGACTCTCGTGTGTTGGCACATCAACTGGTCAATGCATCCATTAATCTGCAAGCGGATCTTTTATTCTAGTAAAATGATTTTTATTATTATTGATCATCTTTTTGAGGCTCTTGAGCAATAGAGGCACAACTTTCATTGGATTTGATTGGATCGACTTCTGTAACGTGCAATGCTGTAAGTATGATTACCGGGTTTAGGATTGCAGTGAAAGACACATACATACTTAAGTTTATTTGGCTTTGAAGGGGCAGTGAGGCATAGGGAATCATACCTTTTCTTTATTTCTAAAAAAAAAAAGAAAAGAAAAATTCTTTCCTATAATGTTGACGTCTTCACTTTTTTACATGAAGATGATGCATATTATATATGGAAGAGCGACCGAGAACCAATAAATAGAATATGTGAATATGAAAATCTAATTTAATTGAAGGTGAATTTATAGCTTTGTGTGCTTATCATATGTCAAAGAGATCTCTAGACTTTGTGATGGGGTTGCCCTCCTCTACTCTTTTGTGCATCTCCACTTCATATATGCATATTGATATTAAAGGAAGTATCTAGACAAGAATAAGGAGAAAAGACAAGTAAATAAGAATAATTATTGAGTGTGGATTTTATATATACTATCATATTATATTATCTTGTGAAATCTCTCTTCTTTGAATAATGCATAAGTGGGTAAGAAATCCCATACATGGATGTGGCATAATTAAGAAGGAATCAAAAGGAGGAGACAAGACTTTACCCAAAAAACAAAAGGAGGAGACAAGACCATTGTCTTTCTTTCCTTTTCTTATTCTTTTCTTTCCAAGAATTTGCTTTTAGATGCCTAAAATAAAGAGAATTTTCATCTCCCATGACTAACAAGGAGGACACAAAATAAAGATTAGATTGTTTATTTGCAGTATTGTTCTTATTTATTATTTATTATTTTTTTGCCTAGAATCAATAGAGTCTCTCCCACATTCTCGTTGGGCTTATCATAAGAGAATGAAACAAAAGGAGGATTGGTTATTTACGATATTTTTTTAAAGAAAATATTATTTAAAAAAAAGGACTTTTCTTGTGCCTTATAATAAGAAGGAATCAAAAGGAGGAACCAAAAATATAGGCACCATTGCTCTTTTATTTTCTATTTTCCAATAATCTCTAAAGGCAAAAGATAGATTCTCCCCCTCTTGTTCTTTTGGCATCTCCACTCATTCTTTTCTTTTCATAATCTATTAAAAGTATGAAGCATGCTATTAAAACCTAGATCAGATTGATTGGTCATACCAACGAATCGATAAACTAGTCCTTTAATTGGTTTTAGTCTAAAATTGTGGACAAGTCAACTTGTTGGAGTGTCTGCATGCATGTATATATGTATATTTCTCCCCTTGCTAAGAAACAACATTATTATTTTGAGTTAATCATAGTTGGGTTGATCCTAGTTCAACCTCAATTTGGACTGTTGACCATAGCACTACTACTTTGACCAATTTAATAACCAATTTAGGTTCTGACTATTTTTTTGATAGTAAACCATTCTAATTCCAAAGCTAGTAGCTTTGACTAATCTAGATAGAGATGGGTTGAAACATTTTTGAGTAAAAAGCCCTATCATCAAATGTGTTGTTGCATTCTAAGGACTCAAACAACATTTGGTTAAGTTCATACAATTCCCCTGCAAATTATTAAACCAAGCGCTTGTTGGTGAATAGTGAGTATTTACATCTATGCTATTGTTTTCTTTTTCTTTTTTAAAAATCTTGTGCATGTTACTGAGAAGCAAAAAGAGAACCAGCTATTCGCAAACTGTTATTCTCTTTTCAAAATCTCTTGTTCAAAGTTTGTAAAACTAGATTCTCCTATCCTATTGTGTCTCTTGTGAAGGAACAAAAAATGATTGCTTCTTCATCATGACACATTTGTTCATTTTGTTTTCAAAATGTTTTCGTAGAAGTCTTGGAAAAACAAAACTGTCATGCGTCTCCTGATAAGAAAGATGCAACACTGGTAGTTTTACGGCATCACTTTGCAGTATTGAGCTCCAACAGCATGCCTTGAATAATAGTAAAATTGGATTTGCATTATTAATATTCCAACAAGAATATAATTTGCATTGTCTCCTTCTGAATTGCACAATATTGCATATATATTATATCACTTTGCAGTATTGAGCTCCAACAGCATGCCTTGAATAATAGTAAAATTGGATTTGCATTATTAATATTCCAACAAGAATATAATTTGCATTGTCTCCTTCTGAATTGCACAACGTTGCATATATATTATATTAATGTTAAGAGATATTATAGTATTGACCTTTAATTAGGATACTATCCACTAGCACCTATATCATCAATGAATTAATTTTGCTATCCTATGCACCAGTGATATGGCTTTACATCATGTTTGGTTCAAAAGAAGGGAAGCAGAGATTTTAAGGATAACTTGAAATTTTAATATTATTATAAAGTTAATAATGTCTAAAATATTTTAATTAGAGAAACCCCTACTTTTATAAAAGAGGGATCCTACTATTAAAAATTGTTTAGTCAAACCAGAGGAATTGGGGGAGGGAGCTCCATTCTTCAAACCATTTTTCGCAAACAAGAGGAGGCTCCTTTCCAAGAGCCAAAGTAAATAATATTTACACAATAAAGAAAATACCTAATTTAAGACATCAAGAATTAAAGGACAAAAGAATTTTATTGGGCTTATATAGATATATATATATATATATAAAGAGAGTATTTTATTGGATCTAAGAAATGAAAATAAAAATATTAAAAACCACTAATGCTTAATTTGGCTTAAATAACCGAGTAACATATGCAGGCGAATAAGTTTTTAACATAGAGTAGATGCATTATTTAGAGAAAGATGGAGGGAAAAGTAGAAGTGGTAAGCCCTATTTTTTATTAGCAAAGTTTTATCTTACTTAGTATGGTTTTGACATGTCAACTCCATTTCTCACACCAAACAATTTTACATTTGTGCAACCATGTATCAATTGTAATGCAATAGGTAAAAAAATCAAGAGTCCAAAGGAGAAGTATAGAAAAATGATTTTTTTTAATTGATTATCAATTATAATGCAATTGTAAGAGGACTAATCAAAGTAAGAGGAATATGTGTGTGCCAAACAGCGTTTTACCTAAAAGTTGCTCTGTGCGTTTTTTGAAGGTTTCAACACATGCTAATAAGAGAACTAAAGTACAAAAGCAATCTTTTTTATTGGACTGAAGCTATAAAATGTGGGTTGAAGCACACTCACACATAAAGTGAATTGATGAAGTGCATCCATCTTCAGCTACCACCACCCACAAGTAGTTTTGCCCTTGCATGGCCTTCTTTGATCTGGAACTGAGTCCCTAGACCTAAATGAACCATTAAAATCCAAACAAAAGAAACAAGTTCTCCACCTTTACTTAATAACTGCAAATGTCCTGTAGGTCTGCAATGACTCGCAGCAAATGATAGCAATTCCACCCATACAGGACAGATAATTTCCCACTTCTTATCCTCTAACTTGTCCAACTCCTTGGCCAACCTACATGCTTCAAACAATACAGATTTGCTCCTATCCCCCTTCACATCAATGGGTTTATATTCTGTTTGCACTTTACGAAGACATCTGCAAGCTTTTTCCTCTCCATTAATCTCCTGCTCTGGCATCTCCTGCTCTCGCATCATCCTTTTGCTCAAGAACTTCTTGGCCTCTTCACACGTATCTCGAAACCTTATTTGTCCAATTCCCGCCACTGCAGACATCATTGCAGGTTGTATAATTAAAAGGTATAGCATATAATCTGAGAGAAGTTTGCTGATGATTTCTTTATCTCTTGTTTTGGTCTCTTTTTTATCTCCTTTGCATTTGTCGCCATCTCCAAAGAAGCAAATGGTGGTAGCAATGTGCCACAATAGGAGGCTCTCATCAAAAGCAACCTCACTGGGATCTAGAAAATACTTTAAGTTTTGTCGTCTTTCTGGATCCAAGTCCATTTTATAGAGAGCCAACTCACCTCTGGCTGAACATATGCTTTTAAGGGTATCTAGATCTTGAACATCTTCTGATTTCTTTTTCAACTCTTGGAAGATATATTTCCACAGCTCTTCAAGGAATGGACCTTTTTCCTCGTGCTTCCACCGAAGAAGGAGATCTCCACCACCAAAATTTTCGATTACTTTACAGAAAGCAGATCGTACCAATGAAACCATTTTAAAAATGGTGACCTGACCAAAGCTTCGATTATGATCACTCAAAACTGATAGCTCGTCCAAGCAATATTTCACCAAATTGTACTTTGAGATTGATTCAGACCATCGACGAAATGGGAAGGGGGTGGAAAGTGCATGATAGTCATTATAAGTCGGATTATTCTTAATCTTTTTCCAATTTGTTTCTGGATTCCTCCTCTTGAGGAAGTGCACCAAAATATTACCATTGAAATGTCGAAAAAAAGAAACTTTGAACCTTTGGAGCCAAGAAGCTTTGTAGGAATCATGTCGGGATTGATCAGAAAAAGTAGCTGTGTAATCAGTGAAAATGAACATGAAGAAGCCTATGGTGTCCAAGACCAGGGCGCCAAATAGCAATGCATAAGTGACCCTAACGTTAAACTTGTCGCAGAGTTTCTTCTCTGTTGAAATGAAGAGTGCAAGGGCAACCACGATGGAAATGAGGGAAACGAATTTACACAAGTACCCGAGCCAATGGCGAATGATGAAAGCCTTGGTGTAGAATGCTTCATACATGAAATTGAGTTCAATCGCTATTATGTGAAGAGCAATATTAGGGTTTTTGTTTTTGAAATATTGGCGAATCTCGTGGCGATCGCCGAAGCTGTAGATCATGTCCACGATGAGACCTTTGAACTTTTTAAAGAAGTAGTAAGCTTTCTGTGCTGCCTCAAGATCACTTATATCACCATCATCCCGCACCTGTTGGTTCTCATCGCCGACAATGTTGTCGTATCCCGCCTCAGGTTCTGGCATTATGATGATCTGAGTAGGAAGTCCAGCTTCCTTTCGAGAAGTGTATTCCTCCATGAGCTTTGCATAATTGGGACCAGCCTCAGCTTTTGGAAGTAAGGATTGCCTAAAATTATTGATAGATGCCTTATACAAAGCACGAGTTCTCTCAGCATACTTGGTTAATCCAGCCACAAACATCAACACTGTCGGCAACCAGAATAGGTTATGAGAAGTTCTCAGGAGGAAGACATAAATCGTTGTGATTACTTGAAAAATGAGGCCCAAAAGATGCCTAAGCCATAGCTCATTGTCCTCCAAGGCAAAAGCAGTGATGGTGTCAGGACCACCGAGGTGTAGCAAAAGGAAAGGAGCCCAGAATGCCATGAGGAAGTCATTTCCCGTGATGTTGGAGTTCTTTTTATCTTGCTCGTTAGAAATGAGTCCAACACAGAAGCTGGCAGCCCAATCGGCGAGAAGGTAAGCGAACCAGACAAGGCAAAGCGATAAGCTTTTTGTGCGTTTTCTTAAAGAAGCGGAAGCGATCAGAAAGATCTGAAGGCACAGACTGAAGAGGATGACTCCTTGGACATTCCACTTGTTCCATACCTTCTCCACCACACTGGGAATGATGTCCACCATTTTTACAACTTTCTGTCGGACGTCTCTCTCACATGCACATACTTTCCCACTTGCATATTATATATACTTGCAGCTTCGCTTCGCGCTAAAGCCACAAGCATGATCACTAGTTCACAACTTTATCCAAATATTGTGCTTTAGTGTATGTTCTTCCTTAATCTATCATATCTAGCTATAGTTCATTTATTTTATTTTTTATTTTTGGAGAAAATTTCATCCCTTGACCGAACATAATTTCAGTCAACCTCTCAAAACTTTGAAATTTCACTGCACAATTAGGAAACTAAAATTACATTGAAGAGTTGATTCAAATAACCTTATTATCCTTAGTGAAGATAGGCACATAAACAACTTGTATTGAAAAAATGAACCAGAATTTGAACCATGTTTGTCACGTTGTAAGTCATTAGTATTTCCCCAGCCTATCTTATTCATGATCTTTTCGATTATTAAATGGACATTATATTAATCAAGCTCACATCAATGAATATTCTCAAGACATGTATTAGCATTTTTCTTATAAGAGATTGAATAGACATGGACGATTTATGGCCTAACGCATAAACTCAGCCGAAATAACATGCATTTTTGACATTCAGTTTTTTTTTAAAGTATGCTATTTAATATGTTGGAATAAAAAAATGACAGTTGATGAAATAAAATAGAACTTAGACAGGAAAAAGTGAAAACGAAAAAGGATAAAGGTAGATCCTCCCACTCCCTGGTGTCTCCAAGAACAGGAAGGTCCTCTATCCACTATCATCGTCAGCACACGCCAAGAATATTAAAAATGTGCAAGACTTGATTATTTTATACGGTTGGCATGGCATAAAGTATGGCTTAGCTTACACTTTAAACTTTAACTATTTTCATAATTTAATGGTTGAAAATCATGTTCGATCATAACATTTAAAATAGTCTTTATATTTCACAAATAAATAGAACAATGTTACAAACTGACATTTTCTTTTTCGATCGATAGTATTAATTGGATGAAGGGCTTCACTTGAAAACTAAGATTTCTGATTCCCAGTATTATTGTTCATTTTTTGGGAATCTTAGAGTAGCTTAACGCTTCATTAGAACTAAAGATGGATGGGATAATGTTGACCTGTTTTGGTGACTCGCTATATAGTAAAGGCTTTCAGATTCATTCAATAAAGATTTCTTCATGCATATGCTGTAATACATTATTAAGAAAAACTTGTATACTTAGCTTTATATATTAAAAGTACTTGCTTTTAATTAAATTAAGACATATTTTTATAGATTATTTATTTTATAACAAATTTTTATTATTAATATTATTAACACATTAAAATGTACAAATATCAATTTGATTAGATACAAATATATATTAAGTATATAAAATTAACGGCTCATTTATTTTAACTTATTTCATTAAAAAAATTACTTATTTTTTGAAAAAAAATTATTTTGTAAGTTTTTAGGATGTTTGTTTAAACTTTAAAAATAATTAAAATTTGAAAAAAAAAGCAGATATATAATTATTTTAAGAATCTACTTTGAGTAGCTTCTAAAAATAATCTAATGTGATAAATGAAAGAGAGTGTTTTAAAGAGGTGAGATATGCGAATATATTATAAAATTTTAAAATAATATAATCATGAATCATTTTTATAAAACAAAAATGAAGATATCATAAATTTAAAAATAACAAACTAATAATCACTTTTTTATTATTGTAACCAAACATAAAATAATGTTGGCTTTTTATAAAATCTCAATAAAATAAATCTCTTTTTAAAAATATTTAAACTATCTAAAAATTACTTATTTTTTAATCGTAAACTAATGGGCTCTAAGTACATAAGTCTTATCCTACATGATTATTGGATGATTACACTTTTGATTGTTTATTTAAATTAGCTAGTAAATGAATCTTTACAATTGTTAGCTCGTCTTATGAAAGTTGATTAGAAAATTTTCAATAGGACCCCTAATTAAGAGTGTAGAATATAAGCAATTAAGAGAAGTGGAATACACATATCTTGACTCAAAATCTTAAAATTTAAGTTTATAATCCTCTAACTTTATAATATCTATTTCAATTCTATTTTATATGAAGCTTCTCACATCTACTCAACAAGTTCACTAATACTTGAATATCTTAATAATCAACATATAACTTGACTTTGTTTTCTTTTTCCAGGCCTTGTATTTAAGATGAACTTAAATGTAAATTTTCATTACACACAGACCAAGCAATGAATAAGGATGTAACAAATACAAGTTTAAAGGGAGAGTTTATCTTAAAAAAACTAGTATGTTAGGTGTACGAGTTTCTCACACTTATAAGCCCCATACCACTTGTCAGGCTTCTCGATGTGGGACTCGTGACAATGTCACTCCATCAAGAGCTGACATCTATGACAGCTTGACTTCACAGCATTTCACTCGATCTTTTGTTTGTTAGAACCCTTAGTGAGCAGAATTTTATGTAACACAAGCCTCTCAATGAAACTACTAATGTAACGAGTAGATGCCTTAAGGGATTAGGTTGGAGAGCTCCTCACATTTATAAACGCTACATTACTTGTGAGCTCCCCAATGTGAGATTTGTGATAAAGGACTAAATGATGTTTTCAAAAACTACATGCGCAACATACCTGTATTCTTTTAATTCTTCATTGTTTATTTAAGTTTTAGCATTGAACAAATTTTCTCAAAAGAAAATCTAAAACCAAAACAACTTTTTTCTCCTCAGCATTTGAGGAACGAACGTTGAAATAGAATAGCGGATTCATGCATGGAGGATGAAAAGACTTTTGGAGTTAGATAAACAGAAATTAATTAGTTTATCCCAATTTTATCTTAAAAATTTTGACTCTTGATGGTAAACTTCAAAATTATTTAGGTATGCATGTCAAATCTTATAACATAAAGTTTCTGAATTAGCCAATATATATACAAAAGCAACTTTAATTTAAATAATTGATCTTTAAAAGAACATAAATACCTATCTTTCTTTTAGTCGTTAACCCTCAAAATACCTTGCTTCATAATCAATAAAGAAAGTAGTCAATAATAAGTATATGAAAATGCCCATAGCCGCATGAAGAAATTTAAAAGCGTCGGGAGGCTTGGTGGGAGAGTCTCACAAAAGAAGAAGAAGAAGAAGAAGAAGAAGAAAAAAGATTATTCTATTACACTATTATATTTATGTCTCTTAAGCATGAAGCATAAAGTAGATCGACATCGTCACATGTTCTTCTCTTCAGAATATTTTGTCTTTAGTTGGAAGCTTGTTAAAAGTCTTTAAATAAAAGAGAAAAACTTGTACTCTTACACACACGCGCGCTTTTATTTACAAATAGATCTTTTATATAAAGAAAATCCCTAACATTTTAATGTTTTTTCGTTTTTTGGAAAAAAAAAAATCTTTTGTTAGGAATGATGGTGTAACTCTGAAAAAAAAAAAAATTAAAAGACATTATATCAATCTTCTTTTCTTTTCTTTTCTTTTTACCACCGTCAGCAAGCCAAGCCTAATAGTAAACACCACTATAGTCAAGATATAGGTTGGGTTATATGAATTAACCTCGATAATTGATTATATGAGTTGGGTTAGATTGAAAAAAAATTAACTCAAATAAAAATAAATTTTTTCTAGCCCCAACTATCTAACACATAAACCACATGGGCTAACCCTGATGAGCTAGAGTTGGCCCGTTTAACCAATATTTTTTAAAAAAATTTAAAAATAAAAAAAAGATAATTTTGTTGGTATAAACTGTATTGAGCATGACTTACTTAGCTAAATCAATTTATATATTTTATACAAACATTATAAATTAATATTTTGATATATTTAAAATAAATCATAAAAAAATATCAAATTAATTAGAACTTATTATTTAGGTGTAATTTTTTTAAAAATTGATGAAAAAATAAATGGATTGAAAGGTTAGCCAACCCTCAAGAGTTAAGTTGAGTTTGAATTTTTTTAACCTATATAAAAAGTACATTGAACTCAACAAAGCTTATATTTTCCTTAACCTATATGAACAAATTAATTCATATAGTTCAAGTTTACCCATATTCACAGCCTTTATACGTGACTAGGGCCATTAGCAAGTGTAGTAACTTTTGAAGTGAATAAGGCATATTTATTATAAACATAAAAAGAACATGGTAAACACACAAGAAAATGTACACTTTATCATGACTCATGACAACGTCATACACAAACTTCTATACCTAAAAACTGATAACTACTCTCTCCGTTTTTATTTATAAAAAAAAACTATCACTTTTTATTTTTTTTAATAAATAAAATTATTTATTTTAATAAAAATTTATTATGTATTTCTTAAATTATCCTTCATAATTTATATTAATGAGAAATAATTAATGCATACTTATTTTAGTCTATTTTTTTATTTTCAAACATAATTATTTTAGTTAATTAACTTTCTTAAATTATATGATGCAGTTTTTTCTCTTATATATAGAAATGAAAGATGTATTATATATATATATATATATATATATATATAGCAGTTGCATAAGTACATATAGCTATCTAGGCAGTGCTTCTGGTCTTATACTTGGACTTGATGTGAATGCCTTCTTCTCGAGCTCATTCTTCACCAGACTAATTCCATGGTACTGAGTGTAACATCCTGAGCTTTATGTAATAAATAAATTGTAAAATTTGAATTTTATTAAGAATGTAAAATTAGATATTTATATTGTTTTGATGTTTAAATTAAAAAATAAAATTGTATTTAAAGTTATTTAGGGTTAATCAAATGTTTAAGAATTTAATTATGAATTAAATTAGGCCTAAAATTATATAAGAGATGTTTATTAACGATATATATATATAATTAAAAAAGAAAAAGAAAGAAGATTTTTTTTTATTAAATATAAACCCTCCCCAACATTCATTTCATTCACAGAGAAGTGGAAGACAGCGCGCGATCAGGTGGATCTACGATAAGGAGAGTTTTAAAACTAGGCAACATAATAAAATA